ATTAGTATTATTAGTATTATAGTGATGATGAAGGTAAAAGGGCTAGAATGATGTTAGGTGGGATGCTGGAAGGTGTTTGTGGGCTTTTGGAGCCATCTCAGCATTCGCCTTGTGACCACGGGAACCTCAGTCAGGATGTCTGGCTCGGGGATCGAAACTGGACCTCCCGATTGCGAATCTAGTGCGCTACACACTGAGCCACTTTGCTCAATGTGTGTGTGTGTAATTATAATTAAAAATAACATAGGAATGAGTGGCTGATCAAAAAGCTGAGATCGCTAAGGCAGTAGTGTCTTTGTGGTATTAGACAAGATCACAGGTTTGAGTCCCACCTCAGGCATGGGAGCATGTTTGTATGTGTGTGTTGTCCTTTCAACCCCTCATTATTATCATTTTATTTTCTGTACTCCAGGGGCTAATAACCCTCGGGGTTAAATTCAGATCTAGCTAAATGCTGATGCCATGATAAAGTTGCATGCTGCCACTGAGATAATGGTACTGAGCCTTAGTAAATGCAGGGTGCATGCACGTGTGGAGGGGGGGGGAAGCCTGATTGTTGGAAGTTCTTTCCTGAAAGTTATTTATAATTTTGCATGTGAATTTCAAACTGTCCTTCCTTATGATAGATGTCATTGATATTTTTGTTTCAATTTCACACTGCACATGTTTGTGATAGTTTGCATGTTAACTTGTGATGATGTAGGCATGTATACAAATGTTCAAAGATCAAGTTTGTGTTTTCATTGCTTGCAGGCTGTGTGGATTTGTGGGACCCCAAGGTTTTGAGAGCTGGTGCTGGTTCTCACTTTAGATTGACAATTACCCAAGCAGAAAATTGGGATGATCTAAATTTTGGAATGGATAAGAATTCATATGTGTGTGTAGCTGAAAATAATATTGTTCATCACTCTTTGTGTCAGCAAGAAAGGCAATCGAGCAGAGATAGAGAAATAGAAAGTGATACAGATGAAGATGATGATGATATAATGTTGAAAACATCTGAATGCAGCAACCAGGATCCTGAAGTGAATTATGTCCCTATTGTGCCATATTATGCTTTAAATTATACCTCTCTTCCATCAATTGTATTAATTGTAGGAGGTGAGACTGAAGGGATATGCCGTGAAGCATATGAGTTTGTATTCAAGAGAAGTGGGGTACGTGTACATATTCCATTGAGTAACAATGTAGATAGTCTTAACTGTAGTACTGCTCTTAGTATTATTGCTTTTGAAATGAAGAAACAATTTCTTATGAAGGGAAATACATCAGATCCAGAAGTAAAAGATCATGCAGATAATTCTCAAAATTCTAAAGCATCTATAATGAACATGTAAAGTTATTATCATGTTTTAATCCTCAACAATGTTTTGTGGAATGTGAGGGAACTTGAGTGTGATTAAACATCATTCTTTCTGAGGCAATTGTTCAGAAAACAAAAAGGAAGTTGTAGACATGAAAATTTTAGAGTGAAGAACCCTCTTAAACAAACTTTTCTCCTTTTCTGGAGCTAGTTCATTAGTCATTTTGTTGTGTAGATTGTTTGCTGTTGAAATATGACCCCTATTCTTTTCTTTCTGTATACTTTTTTAACATATCCTGCCAATTTGGGTTGACAGTAAATAAGATCACAAATCTTTTTGGGAAGTAGACAAAAAGAGCGCAATATAATACTATTATCTTTCATTAACACCAAAGAGTATTTAATAAATAATTCTGTTACCATTCAACCATTAGATCTGTTTAATAATCTTTCACTATTTTAATGTAATATTTATTTGAAATTTTCGAACTTGAAATTCTTGTTTTTGTTAATCTTTTACTCCTATGTTTGCTTGTCCACCCGTGCATATCAACTTCGAATTCACAGAGATCCCTTTTTCTTTCCAAATCAACAATATTCACGAAATAAAGACAAATTTAATGCAAGTAAATCAGAAGTACAGAATTACATTGTTTATAAATACATAAATATTTTTAAAAAAAATTCTTTACTAGTTTCACCTGTACATATTTTACTTGATGTTACCACATTGACTATTAAGAGATTATAGGTTAGAGGATTACCATAGTGTTCCAAGAAAAAACAATCTTCCAGTCAGTGAATCCTTATAAACTAAACTAAACTCAACTCTGTTCTTTCCATCATTAATGAAGTTGTAACCCTCACCCCACCTGTAACTAGGGTCTTGGGAGAGGGCTTTCCCCACTCCCTCCACATTTCCCCTCTTTCTAGTTCACCAGACCAGGAGCCTCCCTATCAAGAACTTGCTGAGGTAGCCACGGCTCTTCTCAGCTACTTCCTCAGTTATCACCTAGTCACCACTGTGATCCATGGCTCTTTAGTGAAATTATGGTTAATGATAGGATAGTAATTGATTGATGAAGCATTCCGGTGGAATGCAAATTGGAAGGGAAAAGGGAGAGAAAACCTACTGCAAAGTTGCTTTGTCCACCACACTGGAATGGAACTTTGAAACACCTGGAATTGAAAGTGCCCACCAGCAGTGGAAGGCATGGATTCTGGCTTTATTGCCACAGGCTATACCAAGTACAACCGTATGTTAAATTAAAAATAAAATTGTTTGGATGGTTTAATTTTCATTAATATGAGAAGGTTTCTAGTGAAAGTATTTTGCACTTAAATGAAACCCACTGAGTTAACAAATAGCAAAAAAAATATTTTTTTTTTTTATGCTATATGGCTTAATATTTAGAAGTCAATGACAAACATTCTTTCAAAATTAATGCCTTGTTAATCAAGGAAAAAATCATCAAACATCTAGACTTAGAAAAGATTATACCTGAGTGGATGCTGAAAATGTTTGATGCAGGAAGGCATAAATGAAGAGAAAAGACAAGGTATTGTTGAAAATGATTTGGTTGAAGGATATGTAGGTATCCTAATTAGGTTATTCAGGTGTTGTGACTTTCCTGTGAAGAAGATCAAATTACATTCAATACTCAGTGTTTTCAGTGCTAATCAGAAAACTGTCTGAATCCACTCTGCCACTGAGTAAGTTCACTATAGGTACAGAAAATATTTGAAATGTAGTACTTTTTACATTACATTAAGTTTCATGATCCCAATTAACAAATTCATTTGTTGAACTGTTAGAGTGTATAAGTATGTTGGCTATTGTGTATAATAAATGAATTATGAATTCTCTTATATAATTTTAGAAAGAGTTGTTTTTTAATTACCATACAAATTTTACTACAAAGAAAAGAGCAGAATGTGATTAATGGTATCAAATGAATATTGCATCATTCCATGTCAATTTGTACAAAGCATGCAGAGCATAACTAATTTATATTTTCCCACATTTGTGTGTTTTTCCCTGTTCAAAGTTTCATGGATATCTGTGAATTTATTTGGCAGAAAATCTATATCAATGGACATGGAATGACCCTAAAACAAATAGTTTTAATTTGTAATGTTGAAGCATTGCTTTTGGTGGTGCATTACACAATTCCCCATCAGATTTGGTGCTCCAATTGGAGTGAAAAAATATTGATATTCGAGTTTTCTCAACAAACAATAGAAGCAGAGATTCTCCTGTAGAACAAATTTTTAAAAGTAGAAAAGGGATTGAATGTAATCATCTTTTCCTTAGAGATAGAGTTGAATGAATGATGAAATTTCTTTAGAGATATCATTCAGTAAATAAGTCATATACATGACCACTAGTTACAGTGAATGCACTAAATAAGAAGTGAACTGTGTCTCAGTAAGAGTTAACTTGTGTTGGACCTATAAGATGCAAGAAGAGCATTATCTTTTTGCATATTAACAACAAGCATTGAAATACTTGTATTTTTTGGTAAATGAGAGATGTTGCAGGAGTGTTGTGTCAAGGGCAGTTCTTTTTAACAGGAACAACACAGTTTTAAAGAAAGTTTCTGTAGGCCCTAAAAACTATTAAGAGAGTGCTTTTGTTGCACAAATGTTAAAGATTACAAAAGCATTTCGTGCAGTAAGAATCCAAAGAGAAGGGAAATACAATGATCCATGCATCTTTACACCATAAGAATGACCATTTTCTTGTGGTTATATTTTAACTACACATGTGCTCTAAAGTTTCTAATTATTTTTTGGTGTAATTAATTGGAACTAGAGTCAGTAAGCGCTGAAACTAATTAATTTTTGATTTGTTTCAAAACAAGGGTTTAAGCAAATGCATATGAGTATTTTGAGGTGATTTCACTCCAAAATGCTTTGTAATGACTGGACAAACCCTTTTAAAAATCAACTAATTGGTTCTATTGGTAGTGATAAATGGCATAGTGAAAATTTGCAGAGTAGAAACTGATTTTTTTAAATTCTAGGTAGTTTATAAACAACAAGGTAATTTTTTTATTCAAGGTAGTTGAAAATGGTGGATTATAAATTTATCAACACCTCTCTATGTTGAGGGTTTTTTGTTATTTTTTTTACCAAAAAAATGTATTAGAACAGTTGTACATTATTCACTGTGTTTTGTCACAGATGCAATTCAGTACAATGTACACCAATCCTGTGCAAATGGAAATAATTTTTGGAAGGTGATTGTATCTTGATAAAAAGAACAAAATAATGTTCTCATTGTCAGTGTCACCTATATTGGAATAAAAAAAGTGCAAATTGCTCACAATGTTGTGTCATTTAAAGTCTTGAGAAATTGTGAAAATTCTGTGTTCACGTGTACGTTTTGACAGTTTTGTGATGTACGTATGGTATTGTAACGTACTTTATTTATTTCGTAGTGTAATCTGCGTAATTTTTCTGTGTACATATTTTTATCTTTTCAAGGATTTTTACGAAAACACTTTGTTCATCACAGTATGTGTAGAAGGAAAATTCTTTTCTTGCATGATAGAGTTCTTGTATCTTTATTTAATGAGAGAATATACTTAGATTAGTGCAAAAAAAAGGACCAATTTTGAGTTGCTACTTCCAAATCTGCAGAATAACAATGTGATCAAAAACAATTCGACATACGTAATACATTGCAAGAAATTTTTATAAAGTAGCATTTTATGGCAAAGATTATGATGTATTAGGCGTTTGTGTCATGAATAATTGCGTCTTCACATTTCACAGCCGAACATTGTTTTTTTGCACAATCTCGAATACCCGTGACGTTATAATAAAGTTGTTTCCAAAATTTTACTTAGATTCTCTTATAAATTTATAATGCTGTTTTACAAACAACAAAAAACCGTATGCAACTCGTTTATAATGTTCCTTTATTGAATTCGTAAAAATTTGAAAACGAGCTCCTAACGTGAGTCGTTTTCAAGGCAGGTACTTACTCTGTAAATCTTAATATTACAACTATAAACTAGTTGCGTTGTATCCTATAGTGTTTGACAATTGCTAAGGAACAATGATTTTTGCAACGTTGCGTTCCCGACAGTCGTCCAATAACATTTTAAGTGCTGAGGGTGTAGTAGAGCAGGACTTATCTGTTTCGAAGGCAGTGCACGAAAGCTCTATTCATTCGAAAGTTCACGTCCATAAAACTAGCTGACTCACTCCAGCCGAACAGCCCTCCTTCCACCCAAAAAACTTCATAATTTTAGGCTAATTAAATTCTCCATTAAAGGAACGTTTTAAGAAGAGAAAGTTGAGCAATGCTGCTCGAAAAGAACGGCGAATATTCGGCAGAAAAATTTATTTCAGGGCTCTAATAACGAAAACGTAGATAAATCCAGTTTCTGAATTTAGAAAAAGCCCTCTAACACGATGTGTTTTTTGTGAACAATTCATTGAGAAAAAATTGAAAATTCATAATTGTACTTGTAGGAAAGCGCCGAAACAATTTTGAATTTTCCAAACTTAAGGGTTTTTGACTAACATGAGACATGCGCCATTTTATTAAAAGTTCTTCAGACTATCAGACCAATAACAAAATTTGATTAAAAATGGTTGAGCCGTTTTTTGACAAAAAATTGTTAAAACAAAATTAAAAATTGCTTGTATTTTATTCAAAATTAGGCGAAAAATTCTCAAATTTTCGAAAAATTGTACATGGCTTTAATTCAAAATCTGTCTTGAAGGAACAGATTTTATTTAGGGAAAAGTCTCATCTTTAATGTTTTAGTTGTAGGAAGCCGAAAAAATTAGAATTTTTGCAATTTCCAAAATTAGGGTTTTCAGCCAACATGAGACCTACGTCATTCTCTTCAACGTCCTTCAGACTATCCAACAATAAAATTTAATCGAAGTCGATGGCGCCATTTGTTTGGAAATGTCCCAAGTGCGTCATGTAAAGTACTCCCAAAAATTAAAATATCGGTTTCAAAATCAATCGCGTCATCATCCATATCGATTGAGGAATCTCAATTTGGGAGAAAATAGGCTGAACGGTTTAGCCGCTAGCAGCTTCACAGGCAGACGTTTTGTCGCCAATCGATTTTTCGGTGTAAAGAACCCATAAAGAATGGATTCTGGCTGTACGTATTAGGGGATTTTTTTCTAAATTTAGCAACTAGATTTATCCATTTTGTCGTTACCAGGGTCCTGTATTAAAAGTTTTTTCTGCCGAAAATTTGCTGTTTTTTTCGCGCAGCATTACATAACTTGCTATTCTTAAGAAGTTCCTTCTCAAACGCGAGAAAGTAAAAATAATCTCGAGTTGAATGGTCGGCTTCGACTTCAATGGTGTTGCAATTTCTTATTATTTTACAATAATAATGATTAATTAGTAATTTTGGTGAGCCTATAATTCGCGTATAATGTGCGTATAGATAGTTCTGATTTACCTTTTAAGTTTCGATTTTGCGTCAGCTGCCTGAACATTGATTTTTGGGAACTGCGAGATCCTAAAATTTGTGAATGGAGAATTTATTTAACATGAAATTATGAGCTACTTTTTTGTGTTCTGCTTAAGTTGTCAGCCATCTTTATGGACGTCGAAAGTTCAGGCTGTTAAGCCCACTTCACATTTCCCACATTCAGCATTCGCCGAGCAGTAAGCTACTGCTCGCCCAATCCCGATCTGCTGATGTGTTCGGTGAATGTTTCCCCTGATGTGTCTAAAAGACCGACACGCGGTGGATAGGGCGAATAGCGAGCAACCCGTCCACACCACTCGGGATTCGCCGAATGACACATGTGTGAAGCCGCCTTTAGATGATTGATGAACCATGGATGAAGTTTCACGTGATAATACTAAGTTGTTCACACCGGACATCAACCGCATACCAGAATTCTTGCTACTTTGCCGTTAGGCACAGCAATCAAATATATCGTTCATCAATACTGCGAATTCAAATAAAATGTAAAATAATAATTCCGACGTTTAACAGAACACAATAGTCGTATTTAATAGAAAAAGCTTCGGATACACGAGTACTATATTTGAAAGAATCTTAATTACTATTATTTCTCAAACTTATTGTATCAAATAATTTCATATAAAATTAATTTTGAGTTTTCTTTGTACTTAATGGTCATAATTAACATGCCATCGTTTTTATTATTGCTCTTTCTTGAATTATTATTGCAGTTTTATTCGACTTATCGCTTTTCACAAAGCTTTGCTTGCTTCTAAAATTCAAACCAATAAATGTATAATTTTAAGAAATTTTTGTGTCTAATTATAAATATTCATTGTACTTAGGGGAATGACATCACAACGTAATGGCCTTAAAAGGGGCACGGGAGCAACAGTGTAGACCGAATGAAAAGGCTTTTTTCGTAGTACGAGTACTGTACTGAAATATCGAAGCAAGCAGAGGACCGGAAAACCGCTCATAACTGTCCGCGTTCATTGCTGCCATCCTCCGCAAACAATTCAAACGAATTGGTAGCAAAAGATGGTGCCTCAGTAGTTCAATCAAAAACAAAAAATATTTCTTATTTCTATTATATTTTTCTCATTATTAAAAGGACTGGACGACACACGCCAACATCCCCCAAAAAACAGACTGGGTTGTAAAATCTCGATTTGATAGCTTAAACTGCGTCCGTTATTTGCTCTATATCGGCCTAATGATCTTAATAACCACAACAATCTAGTAATCTAAGCCAGTGTAGGGCGTGCGTAATGCGTTTTGGAGAAGTTTCTGCGACGCTGTCAAAAAAATCATCTCGCGCGGCCCAGACACAGCCGTCATGCAACGCGAAAACCAGGGGTGGGGTGAGTCTCGGAGGCGGGGTGGAGGGGGTGCGGCCGCGATGTAAATGCCGTGTTGTTGCATGCGGAGCGCCTCCGCTCGTATCCAACTCGGAAACGCGTCTCTGCGACGAGCGCCTTAAGAAGCCTCTTAGAATGCAAAAGAAGTACAAAGGGATTCGCTCGCCCCAACTTTTGCTCCGGCGCCAAACGTCAAAGCCTTCGTCCGCTTCGGTCTTCGTATTTGTCCACCGTCTCCCCTCCCACCCCTCCCCTTCTCACTCCCTCCCTCCCTCTCCCCCCTCTCTCTCTCTCTCACACACACACACACACACCAGATTCGATGGCGTTTGGCGCCTGCGCTCTGTGTCTGGCACTATTTCCTCAAGTTTCCGAACCTTTTCCTCAGCCCCCGTCCTTGCTTCTTTCCCACCCTTCCTCGTCCAGCGTTGTCGTTGACTCGCTCTTTTCGTCGCCACAATTTTCCTTGTTCCATCTTTTTGTCATCCCTCCCAATTTGCGGAGCCGCCATTCTTCCCGACCCACCTTTCTCAACGATCTCACCGATCACTCTTTACGCTCGCAACCTCTACCTACTTCAACCCAAAGCTATAACATTAGTTGATAGTCGCATGGGAATAATATAATTCAAATTGTATGGTAATCGTACACAATAATATAAACAAGTGACTCTGTTGGCAACGCATTAGAAGTATTTTTCTTCTTAGATATTAAGTTCCTTGTTTGCCAACTTTCTGTATGGTACCATGCATTGCATATAGCAATTACATCAGTATTAAATTGCAACATATAAGTTCTAGTCAGTTTCTGATTGTCTAATCATTCATCTAAAATCTATCAATATATTCTTTACATACTGTTTAAATCTAAGGCCGAAAATAAATATGCCACATAACGAGTAGTACAGGAAGTCGGTGTCAGACCTTCTACATCAGTCAATTCATGATAGTAAACCAATTAATAAGAAGGATGGAATGTGATTTATACTCAGCGATATGCCGCTTAAATAATTTGTTGTGTAGTAAAAGTTTATGCTACTGTCCGCTGGCAAGTAATTTGAAGTCAAATGCCTCCTCAGTATCGAGTTCTTTGGTTTGTAGAAGCAATAGTCTGTGGTTGTGCACATTAATATTATAGAAAGATGTATGCTCCTAATTTATCACAAGCAATAACAAGGTAAGATTAATTAAACTCCCTTCTTCATAACTTGTAGTGAAACAGTGGAGTTGCACGAAGTTGCGTGTCCGAAGACAGTTAACGATACTCGGGACGGGTTTCTCTGAAATGCAAGCATGTCCATTCTTTAATCATCAAAACAATTGAATGTTCCACGAGCAACGTTTTATGGTTTAGTGTATAAAATGCTTTGTTTTCTTCCAATAAACTGATGTTGCAATAAATGAATTCGAGCTGATAAGCCTCACCGAAATGCATTCCTTTGGCATCTGGATCTGTGGAACAGCTTCAAATTTCGCATTTACAGTAATGTAATTCATTATTTTTTTATAAAAAATCCATTTATTACCTCTTCCTTAATATTCTTGAAGTAATATTTCTGTTCTTCTAGGAAGCCGTAAAATTGTCAAACAAATGTATTTTGGGCGGCGATAGATGGCAGCCAGCAAGAGGATGGGGCAAGACTGTAAAGCCAGTGCACATCAAGGAAATTAGAGAACTTTACTACGAGAAGGTCTGTGTCTTTTTGTAGCACCA